GTGAGTGGTTGGGGGTGGGGGAGAAATCTGCTAAATAGCGTGACGTCATTTACAGATGGCCTCATTATAAACTATTTATTGTTTTTATGTTATTTCTGAAAAATGAATATCTTAAATTTACCGCATTTGAATTTTGCATCTTACCGCAGCAGTATTTCAACAGAATCATTACCAAGTGGTTCCACCCTCTCCTCACGGATGTTGCACGTGTAAAGAGTTTAGATTTGAATATGATTTTTTTAAAAATTAATAATTCGTATAGTAAAAGTATGATAGGTATGATATTATTGGCGCTTACAATGTAAAAGCCTGGCACTGGTGTCATACTAGTTGACACGTTGGGCAAAAAAATACTGCGACAATACGCCTTTATCTTTTCTTCCGTGAGTTCACTTCCGGACACAAGCTTAAGACATGCGCAGATGTTCTGATAGACTACTGGATCTGACACCTGAAAAAAGAAAAAGAAAAAAGCACAATATTACAGTTTTTTCAGGTTTTTAAATTTGTTAAATTTGTTTTATCAAACGAAGCATTTCAAATATTAAACTTGGTTATATTCAGGGTAGCGATCCATTTTTTTGTCATTGCATTTATATCTTTTATTAATGCAACAGGTTACGTAAATGCTATAAATAGAACTAAACCAAATTTTCGGGGTTTCTACCTACGGCTGATTTCATTCTTTTTTTTTTTTTGCGTCATTTATTCAATATCAATATTTGATGTTCACATTTTGACTGAATTCGATCTCAGCAGGCACTGGTGCCATTCTCAAGTTCGACTTTAACGTTGAAGGTATTTAAAGTTTTTTAGACTCTCCGGACAATGAAATACCCCCGAACTTACCTTTGTCTTATGAAACACAGTAAAGAAACGTGAAAGTGTATGGCATACATACAGTAACAAGCGGGACGCTCCGCGGCATATTGCTGTATGCCAGCGGTTCTCAACCTGTGGGTCGCGACCCCTTTGGGAGTCGCGGGACCCTTTTCCAGGGATCGCCTAAGACCATCTGAAAACACATACCCTTACAGCTATGAAGTAGCAAAGAAAATAATTGTGTGGCTGGGGGTCGCCACGACACCAGAAACGGTATTAAAGGGTCGCGGCACTAGGAAGGTTGAGAACTACTGCTGTATGCCCATACAGTCGCATACATTTTGTTTAATCAAACTATTTAGCTTCAAGAATAAAGGAAAGTAAATTTGACCCACCGGCACCAGACAAGCCACCATTACCCACCGGCACCAGACAAGCCACCATTACCCACCGGCACCAGACAAGCCACCATTACCCACCGCGTGGTCTGTTCGGTGGTAATGGGTGGCCGTGGTCACAAGCCACCATTACCCACCGGCACCAGACAAGCCACCATTACCCACCGGCACCAGACAAGCCACCAGGATGTCAGGATGCTCCATCAGCCTATTCTCCATCCAGCTTGGATAGAACAGGTAAGTCCCGTAGACGATGATGTCATTATTTCTGCCCAGGACAAAGAGATCCCCAGAGTCATCGACGTAACCGTAGTCATTGGTGTTGACCCAACCGTCTGAGGTGAACGCTAGCTTAGTTTGTGGGTCTGGGACTTCCAGTCTGTTGAAGTATCCCCTAAACACCAGCGGGCCTGGTAGGAACAATTAGTACATAGATTGATGTTTGTATCGCTTACTTTCATCCTGAGTTGTAAAAAAAACGTGCGTTACAATCATTCACGAGAAGTAAACTTAGAATATGATGAGGCTTGAGGAACTAGAGTTTTTGCAGAGTAAACTAACCTACTAACTAATCCATGAACGAATCCATTAACTAGTTCATTAACTAATGTATTGAGTAACCCATCAAATAAATTGTCTAGGTATCAGTCAAATCATCCGACGACGCATCCATCAATTCACCCACTTAAAATCATCCTCAATCAACGCATCAAATCAGTCAAACCATCCATCATCAGAATCTAATCACAGGCCTAAGAAGAGTGGGAGGGGGGGGCGGGGGGCGCGCTTTGAGGTGCGGGGTTTTGGGCGAATTTAATTTTGCGGGGCCTTTGAATTTATATATCTCAACTGATATTTCATTTTTTAAAAAAAAACACGTCATATTCCCACTGTCATATTCACAATTGGCAGTAGCTGTCATATTCACAAGTGGCAGTACCTGTCAAATTCACAATTGGCAGTACCTGTCATATTCACAAGTGGCAGTACCTGTCAAATTCATAATTGGCAGTACAAGTCATAGTCCCACTTGGCAGTACCTGTCATATTCCCCCTTGGACGTACCTTTCATATCCCTCTTGGACGTACCTTTCATATTCACCCTTGGACGTACCTTTCATATTTACCATTGGACGTACCTTTCATATTCCCCCTTGGACGTACCTTTCATATTCACCCTTGGACGTACCTTTCATATTCCCCCTTGGACGTACCTTTCATATTCCCCCTTGGACGTACCTTTCATATTCCCCCTTGGACGTAACTTTCATATTCACCCTTGGACGTACCTTTCATATTCACCCTTGGACGTACCTTTATATTCACCTGACAGAATGGGACACGTAATAACAGGCTTTAAAAACAACGATGTCCTATCGGATACCACATTGCAGCTAAGTGTTTTGTCAAAATAATGTTTATTTTGTTTTTACTGCTGTTTATTCACTGAAGGGGACTTCTTTTCGACACGTTCATTGTTGTTGTTTTTTTCGTCCTGTGCTTTTTCGTTCCCAGGTTTTCCCCATACTTTATTGGTTTCGAAGAAACGGACTGGACCTTGGACATGTGCGATGGCAACATCCAGTTGTATATTGTATAGCCGGGGTCTGCAAGATCTTGCTGAACGTGTTGCAAGACAACACACCATCATAACATGTTACCACGGCAAGCAGACATTCAATGCTATCCAGCTCGCAGTTGAAAAGACAAGCAGCTGAACTATTCACTTTAGGGTCTGCACTCGATTGAACGAGGAGGGATAGTACGAGGAAAGTGACAGACTTATCATCTGATCGTCCAGACTTCGAGCATTGTGTTGACTGGATATTAAAAACTATGAATAGACAGATCCTGGCAATGTTAATAATATATAATATTGTAAGGGCTACGCGCGCGGGCCACCCACACATGCGGGACCTTGGGCGTTCACCCAAATGCGCCACCCCAAGGCGCCGGCCCTTGGTGGAGAGGGCGGTTCGTCCCGGGCGGCACATATTTTGGGGAGGCATTTTCGGTACGCTTCAAATACTTTACCATCACTTTCTTATGTGAAATCTGCATTCATTGCAGGTATTCTGAGGTGCATTCATTGCAGGTATTCTGAGGTGCATTCATTGCAGGTATTCTGAGGTGCATTCATTGCAGGTATTCTGAGGTGCATTCATTGCAGGTATTCTGAGGTGCATTCATTGCAGGTCTTCTGAGGTGCATTCATTGCAGGTATTCTGAGGTGCATTCATTGCAGGTCTTCTGAGGTGCATTCATTGCAGGTATTCTGAGGTGCATTCATTGCAGGTCTTCTGAGGTGCATTCATTGCAGGTCTTCTGAGGTGCATTCATTGCAGGTCTTCTGAGGTGCATTCATTGCAGGTATTCTGAGGTGCATTCATTGCAGGTATTCTGAGGTGCATTCATTGCAGGTATTCTGAGGTATCGTAAATTATGGGCGGCAAAAACAAAGGACTCTCCTGTCTTTCTCTTTCTCTCTCCCTCCCCCCCCCTCCCAGTAGTGGAACAAACTCTACTTCACTGCATAGACTCCATCAAACCTTTGACGTGGATTGTCCCAGTGACACCCTGCTGGCAGATCTCTCCCATGTCATCGACAACTCGGACGGACGCATCTTTTATGGGCTGACCAGAGTTGTTGGACTGATAGCTGCCATCACCATCTGGAACATTGAATAGTACTTAAAGATATTTATACCGTCTTTATAAGGTATCCCTGCCACTGAACTCAAAAAATAGATTTAAAAAAAGAAAAGAAAAAAGGCCATCGCTATGGTTTGCGCGCCAATCATAAGCTTTGATCTTTACGTGTTTATACCGAGCCTTATTTCACTCCAAACACTGTGCTTCAAGTCAAGTCAGTTCAAGTCAAGCATGAGACGACGACTAAGTTAATCGAACACCTAATGTGTACATACCATTTACAATTTTCAATGTGATTAGATATGTTTCTGTTGAACCGTATGCCACAGTAACTGTTTTCGATAAAGTGACCATTTTCTTCACTTGAGCCTTCGATGAAGTTTAAAAGAAAGAAAAAAAAATAAATAAGGTAACATTTATACATTATGTATAACATCTCCAGTCTATTTTTTTTCCCTCCATAAAAAATAATGTTCCCATTGTTTCCATTGAAATGTTTTTGACATCGTCAGTTACTATTAGAAATCTATTTCTAAGCTAACAGATAAACTATGCCTCAATTGTGTAATTACATCATCATCATTACCCTGTTTAATCTGTAAGATTGCGGAATACATTGCGTAGCTATACAAAAAAATTGCCGTATTCGGAAAATTGTAAAAAGGAAATTTGTTCAAAGGATAACTGTTCCAAATAAAATAAGTTTAACGGAGATGACTTTATTTATAATTTTAAATGATGAAACTTTCGACTTTTTAATATATTTTGGTCTCTCCAGTCCCCCCTCCCTGTCCCAGTTTTTTTTTTTTTTTTTTTTTTTTTTTTTTTTTTTAAAATTTGTTTCGAAATAACTTCCGTGATCAGTTTTCCTTCAAACAAATTTCTTGTGTACCAATTTTAGAAAACCAGTAATTGCATGTGTTTTGTTATGTCTATTTACATCAGACCTCCCGCATAATGATGGCAAAGTAATGATATGTTTTTACCGGTACATCAGACATCCAACATAATGGTGACAAAGTATTGATCTGTTTATACATCAGACATCCAACATAATAATGGCAAAGTATTGATTTGTTTGTACCAAACAGACACCCCGTAGACGGACTGGGCTCAAATATGTTGACACTAAAGACCAGGTAGTATCTGCTGATTTACCTCCGTGATCGGCTGACCAGCGACCTCCACCACGTCCAGTCTATACTGCGGCCCTCCGGTTCTCATCACGTGGTCGTAGATCCGCTCACACTCCTGCGACGGCATGGAGTAGGTGTTACACCCTTCAGCGATGACCAGCCGCCAGATGGCAGCTCCGCTCAGCGGACCCGGCGACGACATTTTGTCGCTGAGAACGCGCGTCTCTCCAAAGCAGAATGTCTTCGCCGTCATCCCAACAGCCCATCCTGAGAGAGAAAAAACAACAACATTTCAAATCGGTTTTTTCAAAGCCAAACTGATCACGGTAAGTTTAAGAAAATCCAAATAGAAAAGATCCCCATTCAGTTCCCTTCTTTTTGCAAGTTGAAGTACCTTTAAAACAATTTCAATGCTCGAATTTGCCTACTGCTTCAGTTGCCCTTAATGATGGTGCAGACTTTATTTTTCAAATGAAATAGTTGGATATTTTAAAGGCATGCTTACACATTGCTATTCAAATCTCCCGAAACATTCTCATGTCATTAAATTTCTTTTCTATAAAACCAGCATTTTCTCTTATATAAAACCAGCAGACCGGGAATGAAAATAAATCAATGAATCACGAAGGTTAAAAAGCTTAGCATTAAATTCTAGGAAGGAAACAACCAAATATCTGAAATTAAATTACCCAGAAGCCTCTCACTATAAAGTATACATTTATTATCGCGTGGGTGAGTCCACTGTCTTATGCTTTTATACATGTCCATGGCTGTTGCGATTTCCTGGTGGGACCGTGGCACCAGTTTGGAGTAGCCCGTACTGCCGGAAGTTGTGGTCACGAGCACAATGTCCTCTGGGTCGATGCTCTTGTCGTCAAAGATGTCTGCACCGCATGTCCTCAAGTCGTCTATGAAAGCTTTCTTCTGACTGCGTGAAACATAAATCATCACACAAGTAAAATATTGCTGACATGACAGGAAAATATATATAATTATAAAAATACTCTGTAGCCTACATTGTTTTACATTAAATTTACTTTTTATGATTTGAAAATATTGGCTAAACCCTTCTTTTTTCCCCACCCTTTTGCCCCACCCTTTTTCACAAAGTGCGTTAATGCAGTAATACTCCACGTTCCTCACTAACAGGGTCGCCTCATGGCTTTAGTAATATTATATGCTCAAAGATCTGTTGTAAACAACCTCCTCTAAAGATAAAATTATGTTTAAATGTTGTGCCGAATCATTATAATCTGCTCTATTACAGAAAGTTGACCATTGATATATGTTTGTATTTAATATATGTAGAATTACATATTATAGTTGTACCTTCTTAAAGCTATCTTTACCCTCCTCGCAAACAACGAATATAAGAATATAACGAAATAATCGCTGAATACAATATTATTATAACTTGTAACAAAATATCGATGAAAGAAAAACAACAAAAAACCAGCTAGACTACAACCTAAACAAAATTGGTAGAACAGAACAACAGATTCACATTTCACTTTGAGAGCGTTGGTTGAATGCCTCAATCTTGACACGGGCATAGTTAACCCTAATACAAATAAAGAACCAATGGAATTACGACAAACCTATTTTTCTCCCTGTGTACCAAGATGGCAGTCTTCACTTCCGGTGCTTGTTTGATAAAGATATCCCCAACGTACTGTGATTTTTTGACTGTGATATTTTTGCCCAGAAGCTGCCACCCTGCGGAGCTCTCACCAACAGCCACGACGATTCCACGGCACCTAGTATTTTTAGCAGACTGAAAGAAGTCTGAGCCGTCTGCCATCAGAAGCTTGAGTGGAACAAAGAAGGAAAATGTAGATATTTGTTTGCGGGGAGTGTGGAGTGGGTGGTGGGGACAATGACATCCTTAAAGGCGTTCTGTTATTAATCTATTGGCAAGTTCGCAAAGTTTGCAGTAAGGCGCGTAAAACAAGATGATTAACTTTAAAATCATGTCGAGGCCTGAGTTCACACCAATCACTTTTGATTGAATATTGATTTTAGATAACCGTTCTCGATGTGAAAGAAGCCCGAAAAGGAAAGTTCCAAATGCGGGACTCGAACCCTCAACTTCATATGAGAAAGTGTTTAACTTACTGCCATGGTATTTGCTGCTTATATTTATTTATGGTTTAAAAGTTAATTGTCATCAAAAAAGGACGTGACGTCACTGTATTGAAAATGGTATAACAATACCAAAATAGCGTGACGTCATTTATGGATGGTCACTTATTCACATTATCACTCAGACAATTGATTCACCAGTTTTTAATGTTTACGAATTAAAATTAAAACTATATATATATAATTGTATAAGATGTAATACATTTACTTCCCTGGTTAAAAAAAAATATATTTTAAATTTCAACAATTTAAAAAATATATATTGCCGTTAAAATGTAACTTCCCGCAAACATGATTTGTCTTGTCAGTTGTCAGCTGTCACCATGTCACCATTGTGGCCACTGACCTGCCCATTCATGGTGACGCACCCGGCCAGCATGATCCCCAGGTCTGTGATGACCCGTTCCGGTGAGTTGGCCAGCGTGTTGGCTATGACGTCCTGACGCTCGAAACCCTGCTGACGCAGTCTGTTGGCGAAACGTCCAGCGAGCGTGTAGAGCTCCCGCGCCGTGTAGGCGTCCCGTCGGTCTCCGTCGTAGAACACAAACAGTTCTTTGTCTGGGACCTCGTCGGCCAGGAACTTGGCCCGCTTGCAGACGGTGTCCATATCATGCCAGTGAGTTTCTTGGCCGGACATCTTCTGTATCAACAAAACAAGGACAAAATATCTTGGCATTACCACTCTTACTTTTCATTTCCAGCTACTCGGACTTCAGATAATCTATTGTACTGTATTAGGAAAAATGTGAGTAAAGATTTGTTGGCATGCCGGTTATATCATCAAATTAATATTTTGTCTACGTAATATTTCCATTTTTTTTTTTTTACATTTTAAACTGAATTTGTTACATTGTAAAATTAGTCTTTTAAACTGTGAAGTTAGGTTGTTTAAATTGCAATAACTTTTTGTTCCATCACATTTTTAATATTTTTACATCATTACATTGAAGCTAGTTTTATTGGCGTTTTAGCTATGTTACGTTGAAAAATTTTAAATTATACTTTAAAATTATCCTTAAAAATTTTACTTAAAAATTATACTTTGGTGCGCTTAGATAAACTCCTGACACAGTATGATAGTCGCAAACTACTTTTAGTTCCACAGCCAAATTGATAACTTTGTCAAACGTCTATCTACACCTAGCAAAGTCTAGTTGATAACTCTGTCAAACGTCTATCTACACCTAGCAAAGTCTAGTTGATAACTCTGTCAAACGTCTATCTACACCTAGCAAAGTCTAGTTTCCAAACTATTCAAAATCTTATTTTCCCCACTGCTCATCAGAGGCGCGTGTTGGTTGCAATGGCCGTTACATACGTACGGCACACATCTCCGCTTAGCCAAGAACCGGTGAGCCTTAAATAGCATCCGAAACTGATTATTTAAATATAAAACTTGTTGACAATCTACTCGACATGCGTAATAAGTAACACCAGGCAGGTTTTAATTGCAGGATTGACCTCCTGACACAATTAGAAGTCAGTTCACGGCCCCCTTGTCTGATGATAACATGGGAATGATGGGATTACTGCTCCCATCCCTACCCAGGTGTAGTGGAAAAAGTAGCAAATAGTCACATAGAAAAAAAAAGTCATAGGAAAAATACCAGATAAATAATAATTATTAACCTTAATTTTATTTGTAAGTCCATATAAATGTTAATTGTAATCTAATTATCAATCAATGGAAGCAAACGTCACAGGAAGCAAAGTGATAGGAGGAAAGAAACGAAACATGAACACCGGACACAGTTACAATTTACTCACATCAAATTAAATGCATTGATAAATATCACAAAATAAATTAGTAGCTATGTCTACAAGTAAAAAAATTGTAAACAATTTGTTTTAAATTCTTTTAACGAGAGTAGACGGAGGAGCCGGGTGGTAAATTCTGACAAGACTCGGGAACGAATGGTTTGTATTATATATTTCGGTGCAGCGCGCCATTGACCACGCTGGAGGCCATTGATGCCTGGTCGGGATAGTTTCATCACCGAACTGCTACCACAATGTCCATTGCTTTCCTTTGATTACTTTACTAGGCGAGGTGTGTCGGGGGCATCAAAGTCAGAGGGAGATTTCTTATACATCCCAATCACACACATACAGCCACACAAAAAAAAAAGAAAAAAAAAAGATCTGTCACCTCGAGCGAGAGAATCAAATCATAATCCTTTTGGGGTCAGGGCCTAAACTCTGGGAAATGGCTTGCTGCAGTTTATTGTTATTCAATCTGCAATATTCGTTTATATTGGCTGCACGCAAAACAAAGTCAGTAATTATTAATAAATCAAAGAATTTAATGGGTGATTATAATATGTATACATAGCACGAAAAAGACACACATATTTGGGAAACACGATCCCAAAGAGACGAATCAAACGTCTCTGATTCCGTTTATTGATATTTTTTCTGTGATAAATATTTATACGGACATACAAAGAAAATTACGATGAAAAATGTTTTTTGTTAATTTTTTCCTGCACTTTTTCCTGTGATATTTTCCTAGCACAACGTGTGACTTTTTCATGTAAATTTTTCTTTTGATTTTTTCTTGTGACTTTTTCTTTTGAATTTTGAACTTGACTTTTTCTTTTGACTTTTTCTTGTGAATTTTTTTCTTGTGACTTTTTATGGTGACTTTTTTTCCTTTGACTTTTTAACGTAACTTTTTTCGAGTGACTTTTTTCCCCGCTCACCCCCACACAACTATATTACAAAGTGGCAATCCATGTCTGACGTAAGCACTGAAGTAAAAAAAAAAGGGGGCGGGGTATTTGAGAGATTATTGCGCAGTTCTGAGGTGGGTGGATGTGTCTAGGAAGAAGGTAGATCTACGTACATTTATTAATACATTCTGCAATTATTTTTCTGAAAATGTGACAGCCTATTTATATCTCTAATATAGCTAACTGTCACCTAAAAATCTTTAAATTCTGTGATCTCCAAGTTGCGATTCCAATATGATATCATGTTTTTAAATTATGGTCATCCTGTTGCTTTGTTGTTGTTTTTTCTCCACAATTCAACTCGCTAGATGTCGCACTGGCACTAGTAAGGGTTCATATTTAGTCCACGGTTTTCGTGCGTGTGACGTAATTACTTTGTTCGGCTAAGTCTGTTGTCGCTAAAATTGTTCGGCGCCCCAATCGCCCTATTTCAAATTTTAACAACTTTGACTAAAAACAAATCAAATGTTTATGTTACTAAGCGCCATCTAGTGAACATTTGTACGATACAGGAATTCACAGGCAACCATTCAGGTCTAGTGAACATTTGTACGATACAGGAATGCACAGGCAACCATTCAGGTCTAGTGAACATTTGTACGATACAGGAATGCACAGGCAACCATTCAGGTCTAGTGAACATTTGTACGATACAGGAATGCACAGGCAACCATTCAGGTCTAGTGAACATTTGTACGATACAGGAATGCACAGGCAACCATTCAGGTCTAGTGAACATTTGTACGATACAGGAATGCACAGGCAACCATTCAGGTCTAGTGAACATTTGTACGATACAGGAATGCACAGGCAACCATTCAGGTCTAGTGAAAAAACTTGCTTGCACTAACTTTGGCACCGGCGCATGCACGCAAAGATCGGTCTTTCTGGGTTGTTATGTCAGTGGTGGATTACAGCATGCTCGTCCAATCTTCGGCAAGCAAAACTGCATTAGGATTCTGAGCCCCTTCTACCGGTGATATTTGGGCCACCTGAGCCACTTCTGCCAGTGATATTTGGGCCACCTGAGCCCCTTCTGCCGGTGATATTTGGGCCAACTGAGTAGTGGCGTAGCGAGGGTGTTTGGCGCCCGGGGACAAGATTCGCGCCCGGGGACAAGATCCATTTTTAGCGCCCCTTTTTATTTTTTTCAACTCTCAAACCCATTATTTTCATCCATAAAATAATATCACAGCACATTTTGGCGCCCCTAACTAGCTGGCGCCCGGGGCCATCTGTCCCCCCCTGTCCCCACCACGCTACGCCTCTGCACCTGAGCCTCTTCTGCCGGTGATATTATTGCCACCTGAGCCTCTTCTGCCGGTGATATTTGGGCCACCTGAGCCTCTTCTGCCGGTGATATTTGGGCCACCTGAGCCTCTTCTGCCGGTGATATTTGGGCCACCTGAGCCTCTTCTGCCGGTGATATTTGGGCCACCTGGACCGCTTCTGCATTACAATAACACTAGGGCATTAAATCTTAGCTTAAGTTTTATGCTCAAGACGAGTCACAGATAAAATTCATTAGCCACTAATTACTAATAGGCGTTTCAAATTGCACATCCTCTACTGTAGAAGTTATGGTTGAGTGATTTCAAGAGAAAATCAGTGATTGTTTCAATAATAGTATGCATATTGTGTCTGTAACACCTACCACCTGTCTCATTAATGTTGCATATTATGTATGTAAAGCTCATATGTACGTTTACACGGGGGAAGGGGGTATAAAAATGTACGGGGGCAACAGGGGGTGGGGTTGGGAAATTGTGACTTTTTTTTTCCAATGTACTATTAATTATAGCGATGGACCCTCATCTGAAGAGAATTTATAATCAAGGGAAATAATCCAAGTTTTACTATCCCAAAGGAGATACATGCCATCCTGTGGCCAGTAATTGAGCAATGTAGACATACTATATATATAATATATTTTGAGCAACGAATGGAAGCTAAACAGTGATGGACGTCTAAAACCGGTTATTACGTTAGAGAGCTCACCGTGAGAGTCTAAAATCCACGAAGCCGTGACCTTATATAACTATATATATGTGTGTGTGTGTGTGTGTTGTAAATTAAATATTAGGCTTTTTAAACCACCCAACATTCTTATACACCATCCCCACATTCCTATACACCATCCCCACACTCTTATGCCACATTCCCACATTCTTATATACCATTCCCTAACTCTTATACCACATTCCCACATTCTTATACACGAATCCCACACTCTTATACACCATTCACACACTCTTATACACCATTCCCACACTCTTATACACCATTCCCACACTCTTATTCACCAATACCACACTCTTATACACCATCCCCACGTTCTTATACGCCGTTCACACATTCTTATACACCATCCCCACACTCTTACAGTATTCCCACACTCTTATACACCATTTCCCGCAAAATTATTAACCTTCACCATGATCTTATAATCAGTTTCTTAATATTGTTTTCAAAATCTTCAGGCTAAAAAATGCTTATTTTACAGAACAAAATGAATTTAGAATAATAATAATTAATAAATATATATAGCTAAAGATCTGGATACAAAACTAGACATATACAAGTAAAAAAATCTGCGGTACAGTGTGACTGCGAAAAGTGAACCACGATACGGCGGGAGGACTGTATTTTGAAAAGGCTAGGAATTTTTTTTTAAAAATTGTTCCATTATTTTTCAAAACAGGGAAATTTTTTTTAGTGTTTTTGTTTCGAAATAAAAAATAATTCAATGTTTAATTTTTCCATGCTTAAGAGTTTTTAACATCACTAATCTAAAGGACTCATGCCTTATGATGTTTTTTCCATTCATGGCATTCTAATTTTAGAAATAACTAAAATCATGACCAATCATGAGTTG